GAATCATTGCGAGTTTAGCGATTGGCCTCGAACTGAAAAACACCACTAACCTTGTGCTGCAGCGGTAGATCCACAATATCTCTGGAGATGCATTGACTCAGCTCATAACCCATCGAGTTCAACACCTCTGCTATCGGATCGCTGCCAGCAGATGCTCCACCGCCACCGATCGCGACACCGCTCGTTAACCAGTCGTCACCCGAATCCTTGATGCTCTGCAAAAATTTAGTTTTAAAATCTCTCGTGAAAAAAGCCAGCAATACTTGAACGAATACCTTTCTCTTCAGCTTTCACATAAGCATCTCGCAGACACAATCGAACACTTCCGTAGATGGAAATCTGGGAGGAAAAGCACTGCAATGTTGCCAAGTGTCATTTACATTTGTACTAACCTTGGCTTGTAAAGGGCGTTCTCCTGGCTGAACCAGCAATTCCAAGAGAGGATTCATGAGATTAGCTAGAACAGCACGCAACTCGGACACCTGCAAATGTAGAAATCATTTTCCACAATACTAGTGATTGCTAACTAGCATTTTCTATTCAAATATTCAAAGACGATACAGGGACTATTATACAAAAGAACTGGTGCCAGCGCTTGACTAAACAGTGTTGGCGCCCCGATGAGCGGGTATCATCGCTGTGTAGAACACACTAGGGGCGGTATTTGGAAAGGAGCTGGTCGTGGTCCGTAATTGGCCTCTAGAGTTTGTTTTTCCGGTTGTTGACTGTTTCCTCGTCACGCGAATTGCATCCCCACCTCCTAGTTGCCGGTAAGGCAAAGTTACTACTCCTGACAGTTGATCGCAGAAGTGTGGTTGGGGGAAGGGGGGGGGGGGCGAACGGAGAAACTTCTATTTGAGATAGCCTTTCCCAATGGTCTTTTCGATCCCAATCATTGTTGTTTTCAGGAAGCTCAAAAGGGTTGAAGGGAACAATGATCGCTTCCCTTCTCCGACGAGGGAAAAGTTTGAAGGCCAAAGTGCTACAGGGGGGGCCAAAAAAAAGTTCATTCTAGGCCGAGTCCAACATATGAGCGAAGTTTTCGCAGCCCAGACAGAGGAAGTGGATATGAGTACCAGGGCGGAAGATACCCAAGATCTTCCTCTATAAGCTGGAGCACGCTGCCGCCAATCGCCTTCATGTACGCCAAAATATGAAGTCATCTCCAGTCGCGGCCTGACTGGAGAACACCTTTGGAATTCACGTCGCCTCCAAACAGCTGCGAAACTTCTTGAATGAAAGTCATCCACAGATAGCTACCTGGAGGTCAGTACTCTTGATCTGCAAGACCTCCCACATCGAGCAGCTACGGCAACGTCGCTACGGTCTAGGACATCATCTTCACCGTATTCGCCGAGGCGCGAGTTGATGGTATGGACCGGGGTACCTGGAAAGGGGAAGACCGATATTTTCTTTGTAGACCCCGACTGAAGGTGAGCGCTGGCGGTTACATCAAGTAACTCGAGAAGAATATCCTCCCTACATGTGGTCGCCCGTACCTTCTTGGAGACCTTGTGCTGCTACAGGTTTGGGTGCCACCACATGGAATCAAAGGGTTTTGGAAAAACTCCCGCCTACTCGGAATGGAAGAACGTTGAGTACCTGGAAAAGATCTAGTATTTAAGCGGGGGTCCTGAACTAAACCCCCTCAATTACTCGGTTCGGGCGGAGCTCAACAGGGTGGTCTACAGTGGCGGAGAAATCAACGATCTCGCTCAACTCCGGTACCCACTCACTTTCGCGCGGCCGAATCTCTCGATGGCGCTCCTCCAGAAGGCTGTGGCGGAGTATATAGTATTTAATGTGCTCTTTAATATGGTAGTAAAAATGTCCGATAAAAATTTAATAAAGTGTAACTTATAGCGCCTTGAAAGTCATGGAGGCAAAATGACTTTTTTTTTGGCCCCCCCTGTACATCCCATCAGGTACGGACACTGCCGATGTGCCGTGCACTGTTCCTCAGCTCAGAAGTGCACGCGCAACGGGACTTGGGGGGGGGGGGAAGGGTAGGTAGCGATGCCTGACGCCGTTCCCGATACTCCTCCCGCGCCATCCTCAAGGTGCCAGGCACTTGTGCCGATGACAAAAGTTCGCGCCAGCAAGACACGCAGTTCGTGGTAGAGATCAAACACAGAAAAGAGGGAGGCGCAGACGCAGCCGCACATTAGGCTGAGGGTAGGACGTAACGGCCGGCCTCCGGCAAGCCAAGTACTTAGGATCTTTGACGGCAAGTGTACACTGTTGCTTTCTAGCGATGTATGTGAAACGCTGGACAGAATGATCTAATCCGCCGAAGGAGAGTTCACTTCTTTTCTCCTCCCTGAACTCCTTCGTTAGCCGCTCCTCTTTGCAGGGGCGATCCTGCATGTTTTGCATACACGCGTGTAGGAGAAACTTGTTCCATGTCCATAGAAAGCTCATGATCTTACAGACAAAAGCTTCATGCTGTATAGTGCTTTGAGCGGGTAATAGATTTCCTTGTTCACGTGGTAGTTAATTTGAAAAGGCTTTTTTGATTGGGGCGCAAAAATTCTGCAGCCCTCGAAAGTTCAATTCTTAGTGCTGCATTGTAATGAAACTGATTCAAAATCTTAGAACATTTTGAGAACTCATCTACTTGTTGAAATAAATGTGAATAGCTTTCTCATCATCGACTGATCTCTCCTTTGTGGACACCATGCATTTGACACCCCCCCCCCCCCGATGTACTGGAAGGTGTTTAACATACCCATTGTCCGATCAGACCAATGAGATCCAGTGCTGCAGAATGGTTCATAACTTTTACAACTTTGCTATCTTTCTTTTGCCGATTCCTCACTACTGACTGTTCATATTCTTAGAAAGCCCCCCCCCCGCACCTCGATGGGTTTCGCAACAGTAATCTACACTGGTCTGCAGCGATCCTCAAAAGACCATGCTAAAATTGCAAATGCAGCGCTCAGTGAATCTTAACGAGACTTCGGCCAGTCCAAGAATCACTGGCGAAGGGAATCGTGTTCCAACAATCAAAAAAGTGCTCACCACCCGGGGAAGGCAACCATAGTTGATCAGAAATCGACAAAAATAAATACGATTAGCTGTACTCCTTTACTCAATGGTAAGTCAAAACAGGGAGTTACAACATGCGTTGAATTCAACCCAGCTACCTCGCCTTCTTCGATTATGTATTCCTGACTTGTCCTTCGGTCTCCGTCATCCCCCTGGTGGGCAACCGCGCATACGACTCAAAACTATTCAGCGACTCAATCAGAACGATTTACCCTAACTAACACAAGCTTGCCGAGAAACCCAAAGACGACCAATACCCAGAAAGTTACTAAATCAGTTTCGATTGCCCAAAATCTGACATTTTTTCCTAAATTTGTACTCGGTATTCTAATCGCACTCATTTTTCGAGACGGCAATCTAGCAAACAATGTTTTTCACCACAAATGGCGAGAGCGGTATTCGAACCGACGGCTCCGGGGAAACTGGGCCTCGAAGCAAAACTGATGCCAGCTGGCATCTGAAGAAATTTACTTTCATTGCAGGCAGTGACAATACATGTCATTTTCATAGGAAGAAATTTCGATCATTTTGGATGGAGCAGAGGCATTTTGGCTGTGATAGATCTGGTGTGAAAAGCGTTAGCGCTAGTTCGAAGCTAGCATCAAATGAATGCAGGAATTCGGGTTAATGGTGCCAGATGAACTCTAGTAGTACATGACAGCGAAATTAGTGAAAAAAAAATTGCTGGGACAAAATGGAGCCAAATGACATCGGCCCGGGGAATGAACATGTAACCTGGGCACCAAACAACCTCTAACCTCTAAGTTTCACCAAAAAAATTGGGTCGAAATAAGTGAGCAGCGCCACTTATGTCTAAAAACTTCTTGTAAGTTCCTTCTATACCATAAACATTGCTTCCACGTTTTTAGGTTAGATTATCACTGATAGATCGAAAGCGAAAACCTTCCCGCAGCAATTACCGGTTACCAGACAGCCGACTGACAAACCGGTTGATCTCCATTCGCAATTCCGGGATCTCGAGACCTATTTAAGGAGAATCCATGGGCTTGTGCATGTCACTGCAACTTCTTTCTTTGGCCTGTTTCCATACTACAGCCGATAATTTACCATTTTCTAGGTATGAAAGTCTACACGGTGACTTTTGTAGCGAGTTCGCTCAGTGGCATCGCTTTAGTCATTTGCCTTTTGGCCATTGGCCAAATCTACAGCAATGTGCAAGACTTCTGGACTGAACTTGACATGGAGATGAGCGCTATCCGAGTAAGTGGCCCACTACTAATTTGACAACAACCACCGTATTTTGAAAAATCTAACTCTAGACTCAAACCGACGAACTCTGGAAAGACCTGGTTCACATTGGCATCACTCGTCGTAAGCGTGAGGTCTACGCAACTGCACCATCAGCCTACAACACAGGACCCACAGGATTCTCAGGACCTGCAGGACCCGCAGGACAGTTTGGATCCACTGGACCCACAGGATCAACCGGATCCTCTGGACCCAATTGCGGCCCAGGCTGTGTTGGGCCACAATGCGGCGCGTGCGCTCCAGCATCATCATTCGGTCTAGCTCCGTCAGGTCCGGCTCCCATTAGTGCTGGCTGTCAATGCAAAAGTCCGGAACACAACAAGTGTCGCCATGGCCCTGTTGGACCAAAAGGTAAGGTTGTAAGAAGGCGGACGTAGTAAGGCATTCAATAACCACCATTTTTAGGAGCTCCCGGAGTTCCCGGTCCTAATGGTCTCCCTGGAATCGACGGCAAGCCAGGATTCGACTCCGCCGATGTTACACCTGAATCTCAGGATACTGGTATCTGCTTCTATTGCTCACCTGGACCTCCTGGAGCACCAGGACCTATTGGTCGACCTGGAGCACGTGGAATGAAGGGTGCTGATGGAGTCCCTGGACAGCAAGGCAAGGATGGTAATCCTGGCTGGCCCGGAGAGATGGGAGCACATGGAGCACAGGGACGACCAGGCCCAGATGGACGACCAGGTGAGAAAGGAGCCGATGGTCGCAAACCAATTGGTCGTCCTGGACCAAAAGGTCAACGTGGTCCCGCAGGAGATATCGGACCACAAGGTGCACCTGGTGAGACTGCTCCCCCTGGAGAACCAGGACCAGTTGGACCACCTGGTGGAGCAGGTGTCGCAGGACCACCAGGTCTTGAAGGTCCACCTGGCTTCGAAGGTAATCCAGGACGACCTGGAAGAGATGCCGAGTATTGCCACTGCCCAGCCAGAGGATTCCGCGGTGGCCAGGCTTCCAAGAAAGTCTAAGAAACATCAATTGATCTTGCTTTCATGTCAAATAAACATAGTCGTAGTATCGATTCTACACGAGTTAATGTTATGGGAAGAAACAAAGAAAAAGTTATTCAGGTACTAGGTTCCTAAATACCTCGGTATACTCCTGTTTCGATAAGCTACAGATCGATCTGCACAGTCGTAACAACGTTGTACAGACAGCTACTTGTTCCTCTGCCCCACATCCGCTTACATATTCCACCAGCAGGAACGCCGCATCCGTCAGCATTTCGAGCTGGGATTCTGAAAATGTATTTCACCCTCATGTCGGCCCGTCTTTCTAGGACGTGGCACAAAATTACAAGGATTCCGCGACTTCAAAGGCAGTGGACGCGCGCCGTTGTTGCCAGCGTCATTGGTGGAACAAGGCACGCCATCGTTGTGATGATCAGAACGGGGGGTCGTATTTGACCGCGAGGGAGTGGGGGGGTCGTATTTGGTCTGAGAAAAAAAATTTTTTGGTAGTTGATTTCTCTTGTTTCACGGACGGCTATAAAGGGGGGGTCGTATTTGGCCGTTGTTGAGAGAGGGACTGCCAAAGATCTATACAACTACTATTTCCGATAGTTGAAAATGATAGTTAAATCCTGACGACCTCCCCCTCCCCGCTCGACAGCAAAATTTTGGGGAAAAAAACCAGAAGGAAGTCTTGGAAAAACAGGTAGGAGATTAGATAGAAACTAAGAAATTTCCCTGTTTCACCTCGAACTCGGGAAATTTTTTTCGCGGAAGAAAACAGGAATTTCGAGCAAAAAATGGCTAAGGAGTTGGTAAAATCGTGGGAAAGTGAGGCAGCAATGGGGGGGGGGGGGTCGCACCGTTGAGGACAGAATTGGGCGAGTCGGAATTTTATGCAGGAAATCCCAAACGCGATAGTGTGCCCTGGGTGGAGAGGCAGCGACAACATGGCGTTCTCCAACTCCACAATGCGTTGTTCAGCCCTTCCACCAATGACGCTGGCAACAAGCGCTTGTCTTAAAGCAATCGTGCCTCTGGCTTTCAATAAATCTAAGGAAAGCGAACTTACCGAATTTAGAAAAGGACACGGAACTGGCGGATATCGAACAATGCCATAACGCTTCAAGCAAAGCAGTACAAACCGGAGGACAAGCTGTTCTTGAGGCCGCTCGTGGTAGTAATTGTATTCGTTCACGTCAGTACCATACGTCAATACCGCTTCCATCTCCTTGAATTTCGCAAAATCACGAATCAGAACCTACTATTCTACATTGGGTTATACTGAAAGTCTTGCACCAAAACTTGAATCTTCAATAAAATAAACCAATGTCATATGACTCGGAAAATTCATTGAACTCAGTTTTAATCCTTCATTGATGAGCACACAACTGGAACTATTATGGCCTGACTCCGCTTTACGGGCAGTAGCAAAATGGAACCTGAGCAGCTTCTCAAGTTCCTACCCCTTCAAAGCTTCTCATTTGTTCGAAACTAAATCAATAGTTTGCCATTTCAATGGTTTTTCTTTGCAATATTAAATTTGTCCTGATTTGGCAATAAGGTATGAAAAAGTTGTATTGTTGATTTTCATCATGAGGTGAATAGAGGCTGCGCAATTGCATTCATGGTAACCAAGGTACTATGGATCATCACTAATTTTACACAAATCGGAAGACTTTCGGGACAACCTTCAAATCGACTACTGCTATTCGAAGATTTCAAGTAGTAGTACCAAGTAGTAGCGCCAACACATTTGGGTACTCACTCTTGTAACAGCAGTCGTATCCTCAGCCTGAGTGCTCACAATTTCACGGGTCAACAGCTCGTGAAGATACTCAATATCGTATTGGGCGATATTGAAGACCGTTGTCGTCTTACAAGTGTCAAACAACTGAAACCAATATGAGTAATATTGAAAGGAAAGAGGAAAACTTCCTCACGTCCTTAGCGAGGTAAGAACTCACCGCTTGCAGTTTATGGGCATTAAAATGCACAAGTCGAGGATATTCAATCTCTTCAGTCAACTCTATGTGGCCGTGGCGTAATAAGCTAAAAAATAAGATTTTCTGTCATTTCACTTCTGGGCTAACATTCAGAAAGGCTGGCATAGTCTTGTACTAGGATAGCAGCCCATCCTGTGCTCAAATACATCATTTACTCGACTCGCACTTACATCCAAGCATAAAAAAGGAAAAGAAGACCAAGGAAGCAGAGCAGAATCGGAAGAAAAACACCCTTAACTGCGCCCTAAGGACCCTTTTGTACATGAGACCATGTGCAGCAACTGCCCCTGGCTTTACGAAGCCACGACAAAAAAAAGCAGCAAACCCCGCTCCAGGGTGTTCTGGGGCGATAGACATGGAAGGGGGATCGTTGCATCACATCAAGATAGCACCGGCGCCAACGTATACATCGAGAAAGAAGGAAGGCATGTAAAGGGAACTGACTGCTAAGGCACCACAGGCCTGTGTTTTGGACCCTTTTCAAAAGAAAGCAATAAAATTCAGCAAAAACAAACCTGAACAGCAAGTTATCTACTCCTTCTGACGACTCATCGCTATTCACCACGGCATCCGAAGTCTCCAATAATGTGCTGTACATCTCATGTGGGATGTTAAAATGTCCTGCAATTCCAAAAGTAGATTCACATAGCAGAACACATCAACCTACTTCATTGGAACTTACCAGACTTCAGTAGCGAAGACACCTCAAGTGCAGCCAGGTGCAATATTGACCCAGAAACCATACGAGTTACGGACAGCAGAGCTGGTCCATCAGCGGCGTTCTAAGAGAAGCATCTGTGGCATTTTTGAAAGGAAAATTCTCGTGAAACACTACTCACCACCGCGGTGCTCTAATCAGTGGAAATTCATACAAAACCGCGGGGAAAAGCTCCTTTCTCTAGCTTTGGAAAAAGGTGCCGGTTGGGAGGTCCGTTGCACTGACGCGACTAAGGCGGCCTTGTGAGTGGCATCAGATGCGCACCATTCGCACCAAGTCCTTATCGGTTTCAAGTGGAAATGTCACAATGGGTCGAGTCAACTAGGTAGGAAACACTGACTAGTTCGTGCATTGTTGACACTGCTGCAATCAGTCGAGGCGGTTTCACACAGGGTGGAATGGGTCGAACGCCCCAGCCGCCTTTTCTACAAACAGTGATCGATTCCCTACGAAAAGAACTAGCGGTAGAAAGCGAAGCGGGTGGGCTCATACCACGCCTCCTGGCACTACCCCGACTAAATGCAACGACATGCAACGACATCAACGCAACCTGGCCTCACTGAATCTCCCAAACGACATTACTATGAAGCTTACCTGTGATAATGTGGTTGACAAAAATGGCGATGCAACCAAGCTGCTGGATTAGGTTAATTGAACGAACAAAGCGGAGCACAGCCTGCGAATATACGCAGTCTATTGAAACCAGTCGTTGCTGAAAAATGTCAAAGAGTGAAGAACCATTCATTCATCATCATTTATTACATGAGCGAACTCATTTGGCTACACATCAGCCCACAAACAATGAAACAGAACATCCGAGAAAGTCCCGCACGGGAAAAAACAATAATACCACAAAAAAATTTCTAAAATGTGTAAATGTTATCAAAATAAAACAGGAAGAGCCGTTTAAAGAGAAGGTGTAAGAGAAGCCACACGGGAATTAATTCCCAACCACTCGAGAAGAGTTACATATTTGATCCACCACGCGGTACTCCAATAATGCAATTGTGGGAATTAAAAGGAGTCAATATAGTATTTACTAGATGTTCACTTACCAACAGTCGGAACGATGGTTCAATGAGCGATGAGAACTGAAGTTGGAAAGGATCTTTAGCACCAATAAACTGCTCCAGGACGGACAGCACTTGATGAAATCCGGTGGGTTGCGATTCTGAAATATTATACTGGTACAGTTAAGCACATTAGGGAATAACATTTTGCCAAATAGAATTTTCGATGGAAAATCAAGGGGAGAACACAAAAACAACTTACCAATCTCATATAATGGGCCGGTACTATCGGCGAATGGCTTGAAGCCAAACAGCAAGAAGCAGAGATTATTTCCGGCTGGATCAGTCTCTCCACAGAATCTTCAAGAAAAATCAGACTAGTCGTTAAGTTGCAGAAGGTAAAAAACACATATATAGAAGTAAGACAGCGGGAATATATAAGACAGAAAGCAGAAAGAGAAAGAGAAAGAGAAGCAAAAGAAAGGGAGAAAGAGAAAAGAGAGAGAGAGAGAGAGAGAGAGAGAGAGAAAGAGCTAGAGAAAGAAAAAACACTACTAAACTAGGAGACAAGTGTTTTGTTATCTGTTTTGCACATTGGTCTTTTCTGCTGAATATGGAGAACTCGCTCAACTACTGTCAATTTACTTCTTTAGGAGCCCTGGCACGAGGACGTAGTAGCTAAGGGATGTTATATCATTTAACTTCCCCCCCCCTCCCCAAAAAAGCCCAGTTTCACAATATGTAGAAGCGATTTGCAGCTTGAGAAATCCTTTTCCCTCAAGCCCGCATTCAGACGCATTCGGGATACATTATGGAAGCAATATGACGCATTTCACAGGTACTGACCAGCGGCAAACCACAACCGTTTATCGCCGTGTTCAACCGCCCCGAACTACAGGGCCACTCAAAACGAAGGTGGTAAGATATTTTTTACCAATCGTATCATTCTTATAACTTTCTGTTATATCGACAAGATTTTAATTAGGATGTCCCCACTCCCCAAATGGAAATAACGCCTGTAATCTATATCAATGGCAAGTCAGAGTAAATAAAATAAGTTACCTGACAGTGCCTCCAGTACCACCAAGGCTGCTTCACCTCGCATACGCACCAGATCGCTGTCATCAAACTCTAAAGAACATAGTATCTAAAGAAGTAATATATCTGCTGCCTGTAACAGAATCTATAAGGTCATAATGCTTGCAAGGCTAATAGAATTTATGCATTGGCCAAAAAGCAGGGGTTGAGTTCTGTGAAAGTTGAGCGAATGGTCGCGCAACACCCCTGGGAAAGTTACCACATCCGAAATTCCTTACTGCGATGGCATACTTGTTGTAGAAGCGCTGGTATAACACCCGGCGCTCGAACAGAATACACTATTCTACGGCGAAAAACTAACCCCTGAAGAAGGGCATTC